TTTTCGGGGGAATATTTCATCACCATTGATGATGATATCTCCTCCCAAGAGACGTACTGAGATAGCTTTTGAACTTCCTTCCCCCTAGATTATTTYTCWTTTTTTATTGTGACTCTTATTCCTTAAGAATCCCCACTCAAAGCGGATATCCACCTCCCAAAGAAGGAGCACGCACGCACAATTTATTAAGTTCAGCTTACCCTCGTGATTCTCATTTTCATCAGCTGCTGCTTGCACCACGTGTTTCGGTTCCACCTTTTTCTGTTTAACCGGTTTGTCATCATCGCTGCCGGCAGTTTTCGCTGTTGCTGCAGCTGCTCTACCTCCATCACTCTCTCCTACCGGAGGGAAAGATTTATCTGTGCCGTCTTCAACCATTGGGGTTGCGGCAGTAACAATTATTTGTGCCATACCTAAATTTAGAGAATTACCTTCCTTGCTGGGTCCGACATTTAAAGCCGGCGGCGGCAGCGATGGTGGTGGATTACCATCGTCGCTGATATCGTCCTTTAAAACAAATAAGAGAAATGTTTTTAATTGTACAAGCTTAGCGTAGAGAGCAATTTTTTAGAGTTAATAAGATGAGTATATACTGAAAAATTTTAATTATTACAAAGTAAAGCTTGCACCATTTACCTCCATTCCAGGCTCTTGTATGAGTACTGAGTGCATTAAATGAGAGAGGATTTATTAATGTTAACATGTTTCAAGTCTGTTGAAAAATCTTTTGCTAGTAAGTTTATTTATTTTATTTGCGTATTTAGCAAAATTGAGAGGAGCAAAATTAGCGGTAGCAGAACATGGTTTCTAATACACTACTTTTAAATTAGGAAGATATATTGACATGGACACATACAAATAGTATAATAAAAGAATATTTTAATTATTTATGTAAAATTTTAAGCTACTTAACATATAGGTAGGTAATTAATTTGTATTTAAAATTTGTCTACTTTATAAATTTATTTTTCTCATGTACCTGTCCAAAAATATATTTTATTCATACTTTATAGTTTTTAGAGTAGTATTTTACACATTATTTAAGAGGTTACTGTTATATAGTAATGTAAACATGTAGGAGAAACGTGCGCAAAATATAAAACGTATTATTACGAATAATATATAAATAAATACTAATATATAGGCTAAATATATATATATATATATTATATATATATTTTTTTTTTTAATTTGGAAAATATCGAGCTGAATATATAATTTATTATCCCTGATTAATTTTTTCTTATTTCGAATATTCATATAACCTAAAATTTCTGAGAATTTACGCCCTATTCTTCAGTAAACGAAGTTCAGCAATATATGAACATAATGATTAGAATCATGTTTATTTTAATACACATATTACTCGTATACCAAGGCAGACAATTTTTTGAAACCAAAAAAAAATCATAGCAGTAAGAAAATCATCGGAAACACAAGGTAAAATAACAAACGTTAAGGGAAAATAATTTACAATCTGAGGTCAAGAAATAAAAAGGGGGCATTGTTGAATTTTTAAGGGATAGGAATAGTTTATCTCGATTTCCGGCAAAACTAAGGATTCTATAGAAAAAAGTTATATGATAATATTGTAGGTAATGAAAAGATCTATTACTTATATACATTGTAAATTAACCGGGTTAATGATATTTCTATATATTAGGTTGTCAAAAAAGTGTTGCGGTATTTTTTTTTATTATTTTTTTATTTTATAACGGTTTGATGACTCATGCCCAGCTCTTGACCGATGCTACGGCTGCTACTCCGGTCTCTTTCGACCGGTCTCTTTCGACAAAATCAGCGATTTTATCGCAATTTTCGACGACAGGCCTTCCGGAGGGTGGGTCTTCGACCACCTCTACGCCAGAACGAAAAGGTTGAAACCATCGTTGTGCGGTGGAAGTGGAAACTGTATCGAGTACATAAACTGCACAAATTTTATTGGCGGCTTGAGATGCTTTTTGACAACTTAATATATACAAAAGGAATAAAAAGATCGACCAAAAAATATTTCTCAAATTTTGTATTTTTATCTAAAGTCCTTTTGCGGAATAGTTCCGAATATTGGAAAAAGCTTACAATGATTCAGTTTTATCAAAATTACAAGTCTGCGAGTGGTACAAATCCTTCATAGACGGTTGAGAGATCATTGAAAATGCCTCGTCCTGGAGAACAGAGAACAACAGATATGTCGATTCCTCCCGAAAAAGCTAATTTTGTTAAAAAAAAAAAGTTCGATAAGCAGGCCTTTTTGGACATGCTTGATTGGGCGTATTCCGAAATCACATTAATGGAGAGCATTATAACTGCCGACGGTATGCAAACAAGTCAACAATCATCGGAATTGAGGGGAAAAAACAAGATGAAGCCAAAAAAAACTCACCAAAGCCGCTCAAAAAATAAAGTGATGGTCACTGTTTTTATTCGTCATTCGTGGATTGGTGGATCATGTATTTGTTCCGGAGGGACAGAGGGTCAATAACGAGTTCTATTTGGCCGTATTGAGACGTGGTAAGAACATCCTTCGAAAAGGAATGAATTTTGGAAGAGCAATTAACTTATTTTACAAGTGGTAGTTCACCATCGAGCCACGATTGCGACCGAATTTAAAACAAAAACTTAATGAGTGACATGGATTAACCACCGTATCCACAATTTTTACTTGTTCCCTAAAGTGAAATTGCCATTCCGTAAACCCGTGATCAGTCGATCTAAAAGATATAACAAAATTAGCTGAAGGAGCTGAAGGCTATCCCAAAAACTGCCTATGAAAAGTATTGTGAGGACTGGAAAAATCATTGGCATAAGTGTATTATAATTGGTGGGGATTACTTTGCAGGCGACAAAATAAATAATAATGAATGATAAAAATTATTGAATTTTTTGTCACAATATATATATATGCATATAAGTTTGTAGAGGCTTTTTTCACATAAACTAAAAATTTATATACCTACCTTCTAATGTCATCATAAAATGCTTCTTTTTTTTCTTCTTATATTGATCTAATAACGAAAAACCCCTAAATTTTCAATCAAAAAATCTCGAGTCATATTTATATTCACTGAGATATCTTCCTTCTGATTATATTAAAAATATTTACATTACTGTGGTAAAATTGCTAACAAAATGCAAAAACGAAAAAGGTACAGTTTTTTCAGAAATAGAGATAAACCACTTTTAACCCTTAAAAATTCAATCTCTTCCTATTCACGGCTTCAGATCGCTCTCAAATAATTTTCCCCTTATTATTTCCTATTTTATCTTTCGTCTCCTATGGGTTTTAATCTAGAACGGTTTTTTCTTGAAGGCCATGTTATAGGCTCACGACGCATGATAATGCGCTCAGCAAAGCTTTCCTTTAATAAATTTATTGCTTCGTTGGCTTTATAGCAAGTTCAGCCACGAAAAATCATTAATCATGGCTTTATGGCCATGTTCCCCATTCCCCATTGACCAAAGCAATGTAAGCTTTTTTTTCTGTTTTTGAGGAAATGTGAAGTACTGATTGCCTCTGCCATCAGTTCTAACGATGCATCAACAATAGTTAGTGGTTCATCACCACTCCGAATGCGATATTCTTTATTAATACTCTTTATTAATACTCTTTCAAACAAAAAGTGGTCCTTTCGCTGAAAACAAGAATTCTTGTGAAATTCAGGGGTGTTCATGATGATCAATTCCTAACATTGAACGTGTTTCTGGATTAAGTTTGTTCATTAAAAAATAGAGAATCAAACTGAGTATAAATCAAGAGGCAGCTGTCAAAAAGACCAACTCAAAAAAAAAAAATATTGCTCCTTGAAAACCACACGTCTAAAAAAACAGTCCCATACCAATTAAAAAAGAATTTAATATTTTCTATGGCACAATATTAATAGCGTTTGGAGTGCAAAATTTCGGAAAGGTGGAAATTATTTATCTTCTTTGGGTAATGCTACAAATGAAGTTTACCTCTGAATTAATATTAATCAATAACACATTTTGAAACTGTTATAAAACTTTGTTCGCGATTTAAAATTTCAATTATAATATATACCGATCATAAGAATATATTAGAAATTTATATTTAAGATATGTAAACAAATTAAACATAATCAACACATATACCAATTATAACCTGTTACAAATTTATGTCTAATATTTTTACATTATTCTGTGGTAGGAATACTCAAACATAGTAGAAAATCAGTATTGAGACACAATTTGAATATTTATACTACAAACTTTCAATTAAAAAAGTAAGAAAACAGTAAGAGTACAGGACTGCCTACAGAGAGAAAATGTTAAATATTTATAATGCAAAACCCGAAGCAAACACTACGAGTATTTACCCTTTTTGATGCTGGCTTTATTACTTTGCACTTTTTTCAAATACAAAGTACCAATACGAGTATGATAAATAATAAAATATATTTTTAATCAAATATTTAAATGCACATTTGCTTAAAAAATTGTGTAAGCGTGTTATGTGAAGTGAACTTTGCCGTGTGATTCGACTTATGCATAAAGAAACATTGCAAATTACATACACACAAACACATATGCAGGTGAATTTGTTTAGTGATATTGAGTTAATTTTGGTTATGCAGTGCGGGGTACAAATATTAATGCAAATTCGTGTACTTTTGTTGCGGCAACTGAAAAAGCTTGATTACAAAACGCACACACACACACACATACACAAAACATCGCTATCAAATACGGAATATTCAAATACATCTGATCGTTTTGGAAAACAAAGATCACTTAAAATGCCAACACTGTTTGATGAAAAGAAATATACACTTCACTTTTTGTTTTCGAAAAAATTGGAAATAGGAAACTTTTTAGCACATTATTAGTAAGATGGGTATCGTGGATTTTACCTCTAATGATATTATAGAAGCAGGAGTATTCATAATATATTATAATATAATAAAGTGAAGTTAAAATGTTGTGTAGAAGTACTAAAGGAGCAGTGAAAATTTCATTGAGCATGCTTGAAGGATATACTAAATTACCTGGTGGAGGCATACTGGGTGCGCCGCCGTTCGGTATATAGCCGCTGTCATCATCTAAACCAATAATAGAAACACAATTAATTAATAAAATGTATATGTTAAAAACGGGTGATCCAGGTGGAGATCCTTTTTTCAATAGCATTTTTTTTTTTTTTTTTTTTTTGACAGATCACACGCGAGTGAAAAAAATACGAAGGCCGGGGAGGGCGATTCGGCGCCGTTTGCAGCAACGGAACGACGTGGTCCATTTTACAGCAAGATCTTAAATTCAAAGAGTACAAAATACAGCCTGTGAAAGAACCGAAGGCGCTTAACCTTCTCTAGCGACATGGTTTGGGTTCTTGAAAGCTCCAAGAAGATCCGACGATTTCTTGTCAAATTTTTTAGCGACTGGGTCCATTTCTGGCTCAAAAGATACATAAACAAGCAAAATTGGCGCATTTGGGACGAAAACAAAGTGAAGAGGTTCAAGAGTTGTCATTTCATTCAGAAAAAAAGGTGTAGTGTGGTTGGTGGGTCCGCGGAAGCATCGGTTCATATTTCATCAAAAATCGCATCAATTTATGAATTTATTGAGAGAACACTTCGGTGAGCAGATAATTGATAATTTCACGTTTTGGGTCCGTCGATTAGCCACCAAGATCGTGTGGTATCACACCGTTAGACCGGTGAGAACTTAACTGTCAATGTGAAAAGCCTAAAGTCTATGCGGACAATCCCGCTTAGATTCATGCCTTGGAGCAAAACATCACGCCAATCAAACTGCTCGAATGACTCATGAAAAATTGGACCCAATAGGTGGTTCATCCAAAACGTAACAGCTTTCAACATTTGGTAGAGAAAATCTTCAAAAAATAAATGCCAATGAATATTCTTTTGAATGATAATTAACATTACCCATAAAATTTTAAGTTTCTGTGTTTTTTTTTTTTTTTTTAATAGGGAACCTCGAAATGGATCACCCTTTATAATTGCATGCAAAGATATACATATTAAAGGCCTCTAAAACTCGTACTCACCTGCCGTATCCTGGGATTCGAACATATCTTCAGTCAGTTCGTGCGCGTACTCTGGCGGTAGTGCGGGTGCGGGTGGAAGCGCAAAACTCGGCGGTGCAGTCGGTGGTGGTGACTCATCCCCACCTTCCGACAACGGTTCACCATTCTCATCACACTCTTCAACTACCAACGATGGAAAATTACCAAATTTACCATCTAATTCACCCTCCCACCAGCCATCGTCTACGCCATGCGCCGTCTTTGTAACAATCTTAATAATTTGACCCTCTTCAAAGGTGAGCTCATCCTCGGCAGTCGCATCGTAGTCATACAAGGCTATACAATAGAGTATATCGGACTTCCGTTTCTGTGGCGCCATTATGACGGAGACCTGATCGGGTGACTGCATGGAATCCACGGTTTGATCTTCATTGTCAACGGTATAATCGACAGATGAGAATGAGATTTGTGAGCGCAATTGATTGCCTGAGCTACCGTTAACGGCAGTATCCTGTTCGATGTCCAGATAATTGTGCGGCACATAGCCTTCCTCACCGCGATAATTGCGTGCACGCAACCAGCCATCACCATCACCCTCGCCAATCACCTCCAGCTGTTCGTTCTCTACAATGGTCAGTTCGTCTGGATTTTGAGCCTAGAAAAAGCAGTTTTTTTGGTTTATAACCATAGTATAATACATAACGAAATTTCTTACAGTGTAGCTATATAAAGCAGTGCATTTGAAAATAGCTTCCTTCGGTTCAGGAACAATGGATTCGTCTTTCTCCTCCTCCTCCTCGGCACCCCAGTTAACTTCAGTGGGATCATCCCAACCGGAAGCTGCGGCCATTATCGGAGGAGCTGCAATTGGCTCGGGTACACGTTCTTCCACATCTATTTTAATACACAAATCATTTTAATTATGCACAGAGAAATTTTTAATAACGGTTGCCACTTACCCTCATCGCTGTCACTAAATGTCTTATCTCGCGACAACTCCTTCTCGACTTTAGACTTGGCGCCTACACCTGCCTGCGTACCGCCTGCGTCCTCTTTGTCGCTGTCGTAGAATGAGTCCGAACTTGGATTTTCCTATAGATCAAATACAAAATTTTATTATTTCAGGAGTGATAATTATTGCATTTATGATCCATTGTACTCACCCCTTGTCCAGAAGCATCTGTACGCATAGAGATGGAACTGGCCGAGCGTGCCAACTCCTGTACGCCCATAATCTCTGCCTCCTGCACCCATTCGTCAACATTAATGCCACCCTCACGCAAACTTTGCAAACATGCCTCAGCCTTTGCCTTCTCCGTTTCAGAGCGGCGAATCAAATCCCTAAACTCTTCAATTTTTGTGTCCAAATCTGGTCCATTAGGATCGTTCGGATCACTGCGTTGTCCCGAATCCCGTAGCGATACACAAATGGCTAATTTCTTTGCGGCCTCTCGTATAGCGACGTTCTCCTTCACTACACGTCCCGCCAAATTCTTAGCCTCTTTCGTAAGTGTCTCCGATGCCGACTCATGTTCGGTGGTGATCTTTCTTATCGGATCATTATCGCACGGTTCGAAGTCATATTGTATGTGTTGTTTTAATACTGGATAGAAGAGATAACAGCACTGTAAATTGTATTCGCGCGTCAATTGCTGTGCTTGATCACGTATTTTGCCGAACGAATTCTGTGTGGCCGAACAGGTGAGCAATTCGGTGCGACCCATCAGTGTCAGGTACTCGGCTACTCGTTCAAATACATAATTCTCCATAGTGGTCATCGTTGTCTGCAGATCGACTGTGAAGTAACGGTTCTGATGTGCATTCGCTGCCGCCAAACTGAGTATGTAGTCATTGCGTGCGCCCGTCGATTTCTCTTCCAACAATTCTTTGCGTGATGTAACACGTGCACTATTCTTTTGCAGCGAAGTGATCGATTGGAAGAATGAACCCTTCTTTTTCTTCAGTTTCTCTTCAATATCTCTTGCTTTATCACGCACATCATGTGCGCAATGCTCCTCGTCGAAATATTGCTTTTTTGTCTTATCAACATCGGAAACGCTGAGGTGCAACTCCTTTTGTACATTCACTATCTGTGAGAGTGACTTTTTGGAAATGGCCAATTTGTAATCGCGCAGCACTTTAGCTTCGTCAGCAATTTGCTGCTGGAACACTTCAATAGCTGCGAGTCGGGCGCGTGCTAACTTCTCATTCTCTTCGAGTACCGTACGCCAAACGCTCCACATATTCCTGTTCGAAGAAAATATCATAATTTAGATTGGTTCTTAATTATTACTATCATTCAATTATTAACTGATTAAAGAGATTGGCGACAATTATATTTTGTGTTTCCATCAATAAGAATGGAATTTGAGGAATTAATTGCGAATGCTATGTCATGGTACACTTTGTACCATTCAGAAGGAAACTTCGGAGACCATACAACATATACATATGTATACATAAATGATCAGCATGATGAGCCTAGTCGATTAAGCCATGTCCGTCTGCCTGTTCCTCTGTATATGCGCGATCTAGTCCCTCAAGTTTTGGAGTACTAATATGAAATTTTAACAAAAAGCCTTTCTTTCGTCGAAACCTCCGATATCGGCGGACAATGGCATATTGTTATACTATATATATATATAGTATGTATGCTTGTATGGATATTTGTGTAATGTGAGGAGAATCTTTACGTAATTCGGTATGGAATATTACGGTACAATCGGCGAAGAAATAGTTAGAATAAGACTATTAAAACATATTGTTGTCATACTGAACGATCAAAACCCGATTCTTATGGAGAAATTGGACGAAATATATTCCCGAAATTTGGCGTGGATAAATGTCTGAGGCAAATGTACAATATCCGAGAAATTGTGCAGATCGAGCTGCATACAGCTTACAAACGGATCGATCAAGATTAAGATCATTTATTGTTTTTATCATATTTTATCTATCATAAATGGCCCTGTGAGAAGTATTCGGAGTATTTGGACAATTTTTGAATACAAAATCAGTCGATAAAGCACATTTATTGGTCGTAGGGAAAAAGCTTTTTTCGCCTTTTCCATTCCGAGCATTGTGGAAGATTACTGGAGGCTAACAATAACAGTAATTTATGTGTAGTTTGATAATATTCCATGTTCCTGTCTTGTGGTTGAAAACAACTTAAAACCAGGCAACTTAAAGCAAAGGGACTACAGGTTCACGGTTAGAATGTTGTCATAATAATAAAAGAACCTATGAGGTTTTAGCAGACGCAAGGATATTAAATACCTGCCGAGGAACAGCGATCTTAGCTATGTAACATAAATTTAGCATACATATTACATATTTCACTTAATATTATGTTCAAACTGCATCTATGCCAAAATCTATTGAAGCATCGTATTCTCAATTCGCATTTTTGTCCCCCATTTACAATGTAGGACTTGATTTATAATGATATATGGATGAACAAAATATTCGACAAATTTTTTTTTAATGGTAGCAGAGCTTAACCGTAGTAAAATCACTTAAGATGTATGATGTTAATCCCTGCAAAAGAAACAGATGAAGGCGGCATACAGCTGTATAAAGACGCCACAATGACATCTAGCAAGTAACTATTCAAAATATAGTTGTTAATGACATCATTCAGTCATTCGTCATACTATTTCACCGCGTTTGATGTTTCATAGGTCATAAATTCATGCGAATAGGAATTATTCAAAATTAACATTTTTCTTGTCATTACTCAGAGTGAATCAGAATGGGGTCGATAATATTTGAAGTGCTTTAATTTATTTTCACAGTATCGAGCTTCACCCGCTTTTACAGTTAAAATGTCCAAGAATCCTATCTAAAATAAGCAGTAACTCTTCTTCCTTTATTTCTGCTTACCAATATATATCTCATACCTACATATTGCTCTTTCATGTGAAGGTTTGCAAACACACATACAAACCTTCACATGAAAGAGCAACTTAGGTGAAGGATGTTGATACAAATACTTGTACACATACAGATGTAGGTGGCAATTCGCAGCATCTAACACAAAGCACCCGTTAAGAAAAAGCTTAGGACATTGTATTTATGACTTTTTAAATGAATATTGAATGTGTAAGAATAATGTCTTTTAACCTTGTTTAAAGCTTTGAAAGCCTAGTTCCCATTGAGTATAATTTTTTAAATTTGTTTAAATTTTTTTTACTTCCTCATATACTTGTAAGCTATTTTACCGTCAACAATAAGAAAAAGAACCAACATGAATTAAATCCTACCAAACCTGCAATCATGAGCACTTTGGGACACATAATATATATTTTAGTATAATATGAACAGCATATGGTACTATATTTTTGTTGTGCGTCAAGGTCAAGGATATAAATTGAGTGGCGTTGGAATAAACAATGGACAGCACTATTATAAATATTTTAACACTGAAAGCAATCAAAGCAACAAAAAAAAAAACACAATTGTACACAGTACACATTTGTGGAAGGAAGGACAGCTCAATTATCATAAACACTTACTTATATGTATGTATGTACACATGTTAATTATATTTTTCTATGAGTATAGGAGGTCGATTCGATAACTTCCCAGCCTACAAAGAAAACCAAAATTTCAGAGAAATAGCGAATTATCTAACTTATGTATGGCATGAATTTGAAAACAAAAAGGGCACACATTTTTAAGTTGAAAGCAGCAACAGTTCGTAGTGTGATTCGAATAATTTGACTGTGGCGACAGCGTTTTGATGTAGGGAAGCACTATTTTTCGCTCAATTCCTATCGTGCCTCCCTATTTATCATGTCCAGTATTTTAAGCAACCTACTAACTCAGTATTCTCCCTCAGTTTAAACGAAAATCCACTAATGCGAGGTCAAGACCTTTGTCACATTATTTTCCGGTTACAGCTTGGTGTAGCTCAACAACCGACGTGCGATTTGCGTTGAAATTTTTTAAAACAATGTTTAAGGTAGACATCACGGGAAGAGTCATCTTTTATGGCAGCAAAGTACTCAATGATTGCACTACGCGATTAAACTTATATAAACTAAAATGGAAACAAGTAGGTACAAGATAGTAAATCTATTCGCTTATTCGTACTACCTTGCGATAGTGTTACTATTTGGTGTTGCAGTTAAGTACTTTTCTCACCGCCCTCGTATGTACATATATTACAAATATAGTCACTATACCATTGTGGTTCACTAATTTAAGTCTTCGAATGAAAACAACTAGAGGTTATTACTTTACTCTCTACTCACCATCTCTCCTCCATTCCTTCCATTTTTATATCTGGTATATTTGGTATTTTTTTGTTCAAATACTGCGAAGAGATCTTCAGCAACGATTCGCTGTAGGATTTCTCAATGGCGGAGCGTTTGATGGTGAACTGTCGTATGTCCTCGAGCAAATCGCATTCATGTTGATTCTTTAATTGCAATTTGGCCACTTGCTCTGTGTGTAAATTCTTTAAGAATTTCACATAATTTCCCTGTGAAAGAGAAAATATTTATAAATGTTGGAGCGTGCGATGAGCATTAATTTGAATAGCGGCACGTACAGGAAAAAAACATTTAAGCATACGAACACGTTTATAATATGTAAAAGCAATACAATTATATTTAGTATATATAAATAATAAAAGCACTTATTCAGGCAGATTTCTTTAAAAGTGCAGAAGCAAATCAGATAAAGCAAGAAACATACATGCTAAATATTCGTATTTACACAAAGTGCATTAATGATAATAAATAATCTGCGATATATTTTAATTTACTTAAAAAAAAAATACGTTTCATTAGTAATTGATAACATGGAAATTTTCGGTTTTCCAAATATTTTGAAATATTTTTACTCATGTTGTAAGACTACTTCATATTCTATATTTTGATCCATTATGTACACTGCTCAACGAATCTGAAGGAAAAATTTGCGACCGATTAGCTAAGAAGTTCGTAAGGTATTTGAGAAGTTCTGATTACGAATTTGAGTTCAAACATTTTCCATCACGTACATCTTTTTTATCATACTAGAAAATGGTAAACGGTCTTCTTCTTCTTGGAAATCTACTTTAAAAAATTTACTTAAATTTTTAAACCGTGTATCAATGTGTTTTAGAGAACACAAGCATAGTGTTGTTATACAAGCACACATGACTTTAGCAGAGCTTTCTATAAAGGGCTTTCAGCCAAGATTTCTTCAATGGGTATCTTCTTATTTTTATAATAGAACACAACGAGTGATATTTGAGGATACTCTTCCACAATGTAGTCATATTGATCCTATTCTGTTCTTCTTATTTATTAACGATATCTCTTATGTCATACAATTCTCAGAAATTTTAATATATACCGACTATGTAAAGCTTTTTAACAGCACTTTTTACAACATTGGTTACCAAATCCATTCTGACAAGTTAGATTCGGTACAAAAACAATTTGCACTTTGTACTTAGTGCATTCCCGATGTGATTCTAGATTAAGTCTTCCTCCATACGCTAGTCGTTTAAAACTTATGAATCTACTTACGAGTCGTAGAAAAATGCGTGGTGTTTCTTGGTAAAAGTTCTGAATGGAATAGTTAGCAATTCTTTTCTAATGTCTGAAATTAAATTGAATATCAAGGTTCACTTTTCGAGGTTGTTTAGGCTCTTACTCTTAAAACCTTGTAGATCAAATTTTGAACTTAAGTTTTAATGAAATATATTGTGAGAAAAAAGGGCACAGAAATTTAAAATAAAGGGAAAAATATTTAATTATTCATCAGTATTAACTTTTTTGCCTTCAAAGTAGACCCCACCATATGTAATATACTTATGCCAATGACTTTTCTAAATCTTGAAACTCTTTTATAAGCACGTTTCAGGATGGTCTTCAGCGAATTTTGTTGTATCTCTTCGTTCGACTGATCACGGTTTCACGAACCGGCAATTTCAGTTTGGTGCAAAGGAAAAAATTACATAGAGCCAAGTCTGATGGATCTGTATGTGATCGCTGGTATTCATTGCGTTTTTGGATTTAAATTCGATAACAAATCGTGGCTCGATGCCATGGTGCATTATTATCTTGCAAAATCCATGAATTGTTCTTCCACAATTTCTGCCGATTTCGACGGATGTTCTCACGCAAACGCCTCAATATAGCAGCAAACCACGAATATCGAAAAAACAATGAACATCATCTTGATTTTTGTGCGGCTTCGGCGTGGTTTTTGTGGTTTCGGCCCGTTTTTTCACCCATTCCGATGATTGCCGACATGTCTCATTGGCAGTTATAATACTCTTCATGAATGTGAGATCAGAATTCGCACAATGAAACATGTTCAAAGAGACCTGTTTACAGTGCTCTTTTTAAAAGAAATTTAAATATTCACCAAATTAATTCGCGCTCATATTGCAACAGTAATTAAGGATCGTCCTACGAACTAAGTAAAATATATTTTTTTGAAAAATCATTTATCCGGTGATTTTAATTACAATTTTGAGCTTTTTCGTTCCAATATAAAATGAAAATAATAAGGATTAAATAATAAATGGCCAAGCATTGTGAACACACATTGTAACTATATCTAAAATCGATCCTATATCTAGAGCAACAAAACCATTTACCGATTTTTCAGAATCCCCTTTACATGAGACAAGATGTGATGATGAACTCAATTTATATAGTAGCAATATGAATAATATTTACCAATGAAATTTTGATAAATGCAGGTCAGCATCATTTAGTATAAATTCTACTTCACTTTCAAATAATGCTTTAATATTATGATATTACTAATACGGTCGGATTTAGGCTTAAACTCCGTGTCTCCCAATGTAAACATATTGGTTGATAAATAGAAAAGGTAAACCAGGAAATATATTGCATATGGAGTCCTCATGTGAAAAAGACCAAATTCAACTAAGTATGTTTAAAATAAAACTGAAATAAATATATAGGACTCGGACTTTAGACTGATTTCACCCGTTGTTGCCATAAAACTACAGTACAAATTTGCTTAAAATTTTATGTGTTTTAATTCAATCACAACTACGAATTCGTTGAAAGTTCTACAGAAGTGTTTTTGAGAATATATTTTATTACAAACTCAAGCATTTGAATGGCACAAAGCATTCAGTGCGGGGCTGGAAGTCATTGAAAACTTGTCTCATGCAACTCGACCTCTTCCTATAATTAAAAATGGCATAGTGATGAAAGGATGTTCAATTTAGATGGGCCTGATAGTTGCAAAAGATATTGTAGAGATGTGCACCAAGATCATCGTCCTCTTTTAAGCGAGGGATTGTTTGGCGGTGGCAGTGTGATGGTATGGGCTATGTTCTGCTATAGGGAAAGTCATCTATGGGCTACATATCTACCCGAGTGAATGCTTAAATGTATGTGGGTCTCCTGGGAAATGACTTTTCAACAGGACAATGCATCAATACACACAGCTCAGGTAACCAAATCCTTTTTTACAGAGCGAAAAATATCTGTGTTGCACTGGCCCGCCTTAAGTCAGGACTTGAATCCGATTGAGAACCTTTGGGGTGTCCTCTCTGCCAAACTTTTTTTCTGCCATTGACCCAATATATAAAAATCGTCAGACAAACTATTCGCGTCGTAAACAAATACACACTAATTGACATAAGTATGTAGGTGAAACATTCACATGAATGTAAATAACAGTTGTACCAAGATAACAATAAAAATATTATTGATTTGGCTTGTACCTGCAGTTTAAATGGACCACTTCTGGTCAAGTTTGATCTTGAGTGTATAAAATAGTGTATGATATATACTGTTGAATGAGGTGTGATTATAAAATTTTGAAAGATATTGCGGGGTAATTATGGATTCCTTGATTCTACAAAAGCATCTTCATTATGATCGATTAATCAACTCATACTTCAATGCGTATACCGCATAATAACATTATAACTGGAACTACAATTTTTTTGTCGTTAATTCTTCACTTTTGATTCGTTGGCAAAATTAAATATACACTTACAAGGAGCAGAATTATTTTAAGATTGATAAAACATAATACATAGTTTCAATACCACAATTTATCAATAAATAATGAAATTTTCAAAATATTCAGGTCCGATAGTTGCACCAGATCATTTATTTTTATTTATTTATTTATTAAATGAAAAATAATAATACAATTATTATCTTGCGGAGTAAGAAGCACTTAAAACCATTTTTCTCTTTGAAGCAACTTTAGCGATGAACGTAAGTATGTAATTTGCCGATATTACTGGCTTAAATTTTTTTTAATAAATTTTGTAGCTTCCACAGCTTCCGGCGAGTTATTATCGATGTACGTACACTGCCGTTTTCCTAATGGAAGCTGTGGTTAATAAGAGGAAAATTGTTCTACTTATTGGCCACAGCTTGTAGATCTGGGCGCTTGACTTGTGTTTTCGATTTATCGAAGATAAACTTTAATATGCAGCGTAATTTATTCTTGATTGAAATCCATATTTCACGCGCTCTTAAAGAATTGAAGACAAGTTAAATTTTTACAAAACTTCTTATAATTCTAACGCCATTTACTGTAACAGAGTTACTCTGGGATAACGTTTACAAATCGTAAAAATTTATTACGAAAATATTCATTCATTTCGTGCTGCGTCCAACACTCGGTCGACATAATCACCCAGCAAAGTTGGTAATTCGGCGGCCTTGGATTTGTTTTGCACTATTTACTGTGGTGGATAATGCATATCTTCAGAGAGGTGGAGCAGAGTATCAGAGAAGTGCCGAATGAATTGAACGTGTTGATGTGGACAACCTTTGATTCCAACGAAACGATCACTTTATTGACAAAAATTTTGTGAGCACATTATCTCGCGTCATGAGCGTGGCGTAGACTCTAAGATGGAGCGATTTAGCATGCTGAACTATTTTTGTGGGGTTATGTGGAGGCACTTGTCTAAGCAGATGAGCCTGAGAGCATTGCAGCCTTAGAAGAGAATATTGGGTATGTTACAACAGCCGCGAAGATCATTAGCACGAAACATAATGACAAACCTGTATCCTTCCAACAGGTGATCCAAGGAGAGGTAGCTTTTTCAATAGTATTTTTTGTCAGATCACGCATGTATCGTGTCAAGCTGCCATTTTATTTTTGCTCAGTATTGCTTGGCATTTCATCATGGAAAGACTTACGCCTGAACAACGTTCTGCAAAGAATATGTTTCTCACTTCTCACGTCTTATTGACAACACAGTCGGCATACTGAGCGTGATTCGAAACACCATCACCTATCTGGAGGACTGACGTATGTAACGACTTTTTTTAATTTTTTTTTTTTTTTTTTTTTAATTATTTTATTTATTGGATCTGCTTTTTCTTAAAGCCTAACAATAAGTTATAAAATCTTAACTCTATTTAAAATCTAGACAGGCTCAAGCAAGTGATTGAGCGGTTTTGGTGATACGTCGCTCTTTAATACGCAGGCATATCTCCTCTTTTAAGTCGTGTTTGATCGGACGAATGTATCAAAGCATTAGCCAAAGGGTTTGGGTGTACTTGGAGTTTAGATATGTATTTAATTCTGCTGTCTTCTAATTATTTCTTTACCATAGGGATACCAAGGTATTTATGGATATTTTCGTTACGCATGTACCACGGCGAACACGTGATTGATCTAAGCATTTTTGATTGGAACCTTTGTATTATGTCTATATAAGTTGCACAGATCGTACCTCATGTTATAATTCACTAAAGCGGCGTCATCCGCAAAAGTTGAAGTTAATACATTATTGGCTGTTGGAAGATCTATTGTAATGATGATTTATAGTGTTGGGCCTAAAACACTGCCATGGGGTACACCAGCTATTATCTGTCGTTCATCAGATATGAAATCTCCCACTTTTATCATAATTTTTCCATTTTTTAAATAAGACTCTAATGTATTATACAATTTTATACAAGGTAGAATTTTTTTAATCTCGTATAAAAGACCTTCGTGCCACACCTTATCGAACGCCTGAGCTTCATCAAGAAATATTGCTGAAGTACTCCCTGTGCTCAAATGCTTTCCTTATCTCGTTAGTAATTCTATTTACTTGCTCTATTCTGCCATGTTTCGCAGGAACACCGAATTGATGCATTGGTATTGTATTATTTTCGTGCAGGAAAGAAGACATCTTTGATAGTAATACTTTTTCAAATACTTTTAAAAGACAGGGAAGATCATCAATCAGTCATGGTCTGTGTTAAGTCTTTCCTAGGTTTATTTATCAAGATAATCTGCGACTTTTTCATGAAATTGGATAATATCCGAAACTAAGAATTGCATTGAAGAGCAAAGAGAGCACCTCTACAGCAATAATTGCTAACTCAATTAGCATTTTTAGGGAAATATTATCATGTACCGGCGACTTTTTTGGATTAAGTTCTTTGATGATACCAATAATTTCAAAGCGTGAAGTCTTAAGAGATTTGAGCGACTCTTTAGCTGTGTTGGGAAAGATTGACAGCTTAAAGTTGTTCTTTGGCAAATTGGGTTGAAATACCTTTTCTAGGTGATTTGCAAAGCAATTAGCCTTTTCCTTGTCACTTCGAGCCCAATTTCCACCCAAGCCTCTTGTAGACATGTTGGAGTCAGTTGGTGGCTTCATGGACTTTTGTTTGAACTTGGACACAGCTTCTTTACACACATTTCGGTGTTCAATTCTTCCTCACGTTTAAGCGCTTTTTTTAATTTACGTACATCAGATTTCAGTTGAAGTTGCGTGGAAGAGGAGCGGTTTGTCTATTTGTGATTTTTCTGGGACCAAGCGGCTTATAGTTTTTGTTTGGTGTTTGCTAAGACATCTGCGCTGGTTATTATATCATTGACTTCTGGTATGCTTTTATCAATATCTCTTACTGTATTTATTTTGTACCCAATATTAATTTGGCTACTCACGTATTTTTTATATTTTAGCCAATTTGTTTTATAAGAAGAGCCACTTTTGGATGAACGCGTATGGGTTGTTCACATAACTTTATTATTACAGGAGAGTTATCAGAAGATAGATCAGTACATGTATCACCTGTTATGCGCGATTTATCTATATTTTTCATTACAGCAAAATAAATTAAATCTGGTATTTTCTTACGATCACTAGGCCGATATGTCGGCTTACAAGGAGATATTATTTCAAGGTTATTGTGCCTATTTATAACAGTTTGATACAGCTGTCGTCCTTTCGGAATAATAAGACGTGAGCCCCAGTACGTGTGCTTTGCGTTGTAATCTCCATCTGCTAGAAATATTTGACCTAGTATTCCAAAAAAGTCTTTAAATTCAATTTCTGTAATTTTAAAACGAGGTGGACTGTATATAGCCGTAAGGTTTAAGTCACAACCACAATTTTTTAGTGATATTGTTGTAGCTTTTAACGACTTGGCGCATTTTACATTCTAAAGTACATATATGCGGACAATCACACTTCCATTCAGGCCATGGAGCAAAACATTACGCGTGTCATTCGCCAAATAGCTTCAACGGAAGGACCATTGATTATAATAAATAATACCCAATAAATTTGAAGTTTCTGTGTTTTTTTCTTTAAACATGTATTTTTTTTTTTTTTTTTTTTTATCCTTTACAACGCAAGATACAGATTACTAAAGTCTTCTGTAGTAATAACTATGGATTTATTTTTATTAGAAACTATACTTTTCACTAAGTAATTAAAAAGTGCATATACAACTTTTCTATATATACATAAGTGTTGTAACTAAAGTTGAAGAAATAATTGCAGAAAAATAAACACGTGGGTGTCTACTTTCACGCCTTCCCGTCTGGGTAAAAACCAACTAAACACGAAACAGTAAATGGCAACATCGAAAATGTTAACAAAAAGGGGGGAATAAACAGTACTCTACAAAACAACACACACATTAACACGAGTGAAACGTACATTTTAATACACATACATAAATTTTTTCGGCCAAATTCATGGGGGCGGAACTTACCTTACGTGGCGGGGGCTGCATTTTCGAGTGTGTTTGCTTGGAACTGCACTCAGCGCAACCACTTCAAGATAGATTTGGAAAAATATTACTCTAATTGTTTTTTCTTTTTTATTTTTTGTTGTGATATTGCGTTAGTGACGCAGTTGATAGAATTAGGTTATTTTACTTTTTACCCTTAGCAAACGACTATTTTCAATTAAAATGCGGACATAATAGCTAATGGAATATCAAAGGAAAAAGGAAATGAAAATCATAAGGAAATAAGAAAATAACGAGTAGTAATGACACACAAATATTCATAGCTTAGCAGAAAGCGTTTTGATTAGTTTGTTTGTTGTTGTTTCGTTTTACTTTGTTTTTTTTGTTTTTTTTTTTTTGGTTAAGAGAGGCACAAGGCACTAGAAGTATGAGTGAGTACAATCACACAAACAATATATAATAAAAAGGATATACTGCGCGATAGGAAATTTTCGAGTTATTATATAAGCACATGTATCCGACGGCAAAGCCGTGCAGAGGCGCGTATACTGTAGCGCTTATGCGAAAGTGGAAAAAATATTGAACTAGCAACGTAGCATAGCACTAAAAAGCACTTCACATACACACTTTATGTAATGTGCTGAAAAAGAGATTTAAAACTGTAAATCAAAACACCGCTGTTTCGTTTCCTTTAGCGTAGTTTACATGCAAATATCCAATTTCTCGATTTTTTCGACAAAATAATGATTTTTCTGCAAGCAAAAGTATCGCACAAGCATTTAGTTTAAATACGTCGTATATATGTACATATATTTATATAGGAGCATAAAATTAATTTCTTTTTTATGTATGCAGTTATTGGATTTGCACTAAATAATTAATGCTTTCACACTAGCAGGCGAAATTGCATTTATTTAATATATAATATTGTGCTAACACTTTTCTTCGACATATCCACTTCGTTGTGTTGTTGTCTTCTCATTTAAACAAATTGCTTATAATATTCGTTACACTATAGATTTTCACACTTGTCAGCACCACTTCTGTTAAATATTATAATTTCTTAACAAAAATAAATTTTTTCACCAATTTTAGCAAATTTTTCAGCGAAAAATACGGTCGCGCTGTCTGAAAATATCTGATTTTCCTGCGAACTTATCGATTTCGTGTGGTTGCGTTGAAAATTTCTTTTCAAATTTCATCTTCCACTTTTCTCATTGGAAGTCGTCACACACAATCATCCATATGTATGCTCACAATTAAAATAGCTCTACGTTTAGGTATTTCCTGGTCGTTTGGCAGACTAACCGACTGAATGACAGGCTGATACACTCAACTCCCGAATAACAGCGAAATTCCACAGCAATTGGCAGTTAGTAGCAATCATTCACTCATATGACAACTGGAAGCAAATAGTTGGGCTTCCAACCTACACTCATGTGAGGGCATGCGCACTGCATATATCCTTTGCACGCCGATTTTCTCTCATATAACGCTCTGTATTATCAACTGCTGCTTTGCTCCTTCCTGAATTTGTTTTCACTTTCATTACTTTGACTATTTATAGTAAGCGCCACCAGCTGCAAGCATTACCAATGTTTTTCAATGTTTGCTGTTGGTGTACCAGCGCTTATCGCGTTGTCATCAAGTTGCCATAAACTTGGTTGCGTGACGATGAGGTAATATTTGTTACGATAATTATCGTACGCGGTCAGCAGCTGCGGAATTCTATTGGCTGATTTATAGACTACTTATAAACAAAACGTTCATGCACAGAGGTCATTGTATCGTCAATGCAATTAAAAACGCAGTATCTACGCTAACTAAAAGCGCAAACCGTATTACTTTTTTTTTTTTTTTTAACAGCGAAAAGTTATTTTATGTCACTTTATGACACGTCTCCAACTGACAACAAAAAGTAAAATTTCACCGAATTCAGCATGACCAAATGTAATAAACTCGAGTAGATGTCGTTTTTGAGTGAATACATACTTCTACTCGTATGTATGTTTTATCAACTAAAGCCTGTACAATCAAGCACTTATCGAGTGGCTGTGATAAGTTAATAAATTTGAAGAAAGAATATTTGTATACCCTAAATAACGTATGAAGTTATAGTAAAGCGAATCATATTGAAAATTTTATTTATTTAGCATACTTAGATTATAAAACTTTATACAAACTGAACTTAAAAGTAGTAAACAAAATTAATTCATCAATAACATAAACTACAATTATACTATTATTTTTATTTTTATAACAAAATTTATACTTATAGGAGCAGCAATTTATGTGGTTGCACATATATTATTTCTTTAGTTTCCCCGCCTACAGTTTTTAAAGTATATGGCGCAATGGTTGCATCAAAGAAAGCTTCTATTCTGCTGCCTATCTTTACATGTGCTGCAGTGTCTGCATCAATTATAATCCGAACATTTGCAGAAGAATCCCAATTTATAGCGTTTTCATAGCACTGCTCCAACTTCACGGTTGCTATGTGCACGCCATAAGCTTTATTCAATTCTAACACACACATATGCGTACCATTCTGTAGGCCCAATTGTTGATCGTTTCGTAAGAAATTACGCTCTATGCGATTTGCTTCCTCCAATTTTTGCAAACGTTCCGCATACCCGCCTTGAACATATCGCTTCTTCTTTTGATTAAATGCCGTTGGGTGAGCTTTAACTTTGGCTGCAGGGTTTTCACGTTCAATTAGCGCTACTAATAATTCCAACTCTGTGGGTGCTGTGCTCTTTTGAGTTTCCGATATGGCCTTTTTGGGTGTGCGCGTTGGTGAACCAGTTTCTGATGAAGAAGATGACCAATCAATTGATGTTTCTACCGAATCATATTGGGACAAACAGTTTTTTGTCGGTGTTTTTTGTTGTTGTTCAGTTGGTAAACAACTTTCTGGGATGCTACTTTGACAACGTAATATTGAAAATGTCTTGCGCACCTTACACCACGGCGAGCTGTTAATGGAATTATTGTGTAAAGGAATATTTCTGTTACCCAAAGTGGTTCTCACTTGACCTTGCTTTCCGATGACTTTACTCAATTTACGCTTAATACCCACGTTAGGCAATTTCGATTTTCTGGCTGACCGCGAATACCTTCTACTAAGAGGTGTTGCGGCACCATTGTCGAAGCAGCTTGTATTGATAAAGCTTTGGAAATTTTTTGTGGACAACTCATCATCACTACTCCACGTTATATCTAGCGCTGCAGTATCACTGGATTTAGACAAATTATGGCGCGAAAATAACGTATTCTCTTCGTCACTGCTGCAATCGGATATTCTTAGATCAGGCGGTTGTTCCTTAGGACTGCATGGAAAGTCCATCGATATGTATTAAAGTTAAAAATAAACACCACAAATAAGCTTTTAGTTAGTTGTTCTGAATTCAATATTTATTAACTCTTATAAATGAATTATATACTTCAAAACAAATTATATTGAACTTAGAACATATGATTTGGTAGAGTTGCCGAGTTTCGATATTGATAGGGATACTAAAATTTCAACGACAGATGGGGCAGCGCAACGTTAAGAGCCAAAGAAATGCAAAAATGAAATTGAAGATATCCGTCGTCAAATGCCGAGGTTAAACATTTAAAACTACGATTTTTGACTAGGTATACAGAATTATCTTCCACAATTATCACTTTGTGAAAGTAAATGGTGTACGAGAGAAGCAGAGAAATAGAGTATAAGATAATTTAAAAATTATTGAAACACAGATGGCGCTATGCTTAATTAAATACTATTTCCATGAAGCAAAATTTTGCATTTCAATAATATGAGCACGTATTTGCATAATTTTCTGTACTTATATTCTTCAGACTAAGAAAATCTCTGGATAGAAAGATTGAATTTTGATTAATTTACTGTGACCTGTAGCTATTATGCGTCGCTTGTTATCACTACACATCATTTATCATTTAACCCAGTTGAATCAAAGGAATCAAAGGGACTTTGTAAAGTTCTTGGAATAATTGTTGTGATGTGCATCCTCACCGGTTTCAATTGTCTAATAGTTTGACTAGTTGAATCTTACATACAATTATCTCAAAAACTATAAGTCAGCGGCAAATATATTTGTATATATATGTTATCTTAATCTGAAGAACCTCCTCTATCCGTATATACAAATTTTTACCCAGATTTGCCGGAGCACAAGGCCGTTGGTTTTAACGTGAAACGTCTATGTTAGCGAATTGCTTTTAAAGTAAAACTCGGAGATGAGTTCTGTCCCGGAGCAATATCCAAGTATTGTTCCCCATTCCATAGCAATGTATGTTGTCGTTCCAGCAGGATTTCAGATTCTTTGGCAAAGTTGAGGTCGACAGACTCAATCTGAAATTCGAGCCCGATATAGTCATAACGCAGCCAGGCCTTGATAACTGATCTACGTACGAAACCACTCAAGTAATTCAATTTATGAATAAGTTTCTTTTTTATGTTGACATTAAAAGCAAAATCGTCGTCTATCCGCCTCAGTAATTGCTGCACCATGTTGTTAACATCGACAGGTACATTGATTACCTGGCCGACTCTACCATAGTTACCTTCGTAGCGTAATCGATGAATTTGCATAAATGAACAACTACAGGTACTACATAAGCGAATTTTGTTTGAAGGAAAGAAATGTTGCGATGTCTCACTTTCTTTAAGCCTCTTTCGAACCAAAATCGATCACAAACGCTGCAAGATAAACCAAAGGGATTGGCTACAAATACCGTTTTAAAGCGTTTGCCCGCTGAACGCCAATGATTTTACATTTCTTCACTTCTACTGATATTGACATCTCTCAGTTCCGTGGCAGATCCAATAGATATATAGATCGTCTGTTTATTCGTTACGTCCATAAGTATATGTAGGTATTCCATTCCATATTTGCGACGTTCCCGAAGCCGTCTCGCTCGCTCGGCGCCGGACTTTGGGGTACCTATGCGTGGCCCATAGCCCGATAACGCAGTATGCCTCCCCCGCCGCCCCCCTCGATCCCCTCACGAACTTAATGTCATAACAGCGAGCTGACGATATAAGCGAAATATTCACACCAAATTTTTGTTTCTAAGACTAAAAGTTTTGTAATTATTAAGGTACGATGATATACTATATACCTTTTCGTTACGGTCCACTTTTTAAACATGGTACCCGTATGTTTCGGCGCGATTTTAAAGACGTTTCACGTCCAAACCAACCAAGAAAGTGTATATGTGTTGTATCTACTGTGTCCAGATTGGTATCTATCTATTTAAAAATGGTAGGACAGATGAGAAGTGACCGAATCTATGTGTCATCCAAGGTAATACACCGATCGATGACTATATATTTTTGTTAAATGTTTATCCAGTGATCATTTTCTTGAAACTTAAAAGCAAAAATAGTGTGTTTCCTTGTTTGTACTGTTTTGAGAATCATTTTGATGAATGACTAATATATCCAAAACGATATCGGTCAATCTGATTTTATGGCTATTAAAAACAATTTTTTCGTCTATAACGGCCATTTCATTTCATTGCCTTCGGAAGTTCATTGTAATTGTTTAGAAACAATTTAAAAATGACCAGCAGCCCAGCGCAATTACTGGGAAACACTGACCAAAATGATAAAACAATTTAAGCCTTCCTAGCAGAGACGATCTTGTGCAAACAAATGGCTCCTAATCTTAATAAAGAACAGTTACAACAGAAGGAGTTTTTGTATTCTCATGTTATATAAAAACTGTGGAAAATCTATGACAAATTTAAATATTGGAAATATTTTTACATTAATATTTATATTAAAATCATTGATTACTCAGCAGCTATAAAATGCGATTTCAGTTTTGCATGCAGTATGTCTGTATAAATGCATTTGCGTCAGTGCAGCAGCAACATGTATTCGATTTTTGCTTAAAGCAAGATAAGCACAAACTTATGCTTGGAAAAGCTTAACTCAATACACAAACAAATCCGTCTGGCGTAATTGTTAAACTTTTCTGCATCACCCAATCAGGATTTGGAGGATTTATTTTTCATTTATTATACGTTTTAGCCGAGTTGAGTTCAAATTGCTCATGTCTCTTCGAAATCACAATCTTAGAGATACATATCATTTTTCTACGTTTAAAAACTTGAAATTGTTCAGATATAGCATATAGCTGACATGCAGGTACAAACTAAACAATCGGAATAAAGTACATGTATGAACAACTTTTTCTTTGGACAATATATTTGCATTGCTTACACTGATCTACAAATAAATACTCTCTGGATGTTTTCAATTGATTTACATGTACTATAAGTATTTAAGTATTCTAAAAACTAAAACATAATCAAAAATTCCCAGAACGTCGGTATATTATGCAATATAGTTTTAACTCGTCACTGTTTAGTAGATATTGGCCAATATAGCAAATTTCGTCTGGAGAAGACTATGGCGAATATATTTCAATATCATATATAATACTTAAACCATATAATCGATTTAATATTACCGACTTTGCAAAATAGTAAACTTAGCGTATTAAAACATGGAGAGCCGGTTAAAGTTTCAGCATCTTTTAAAGTAAAGCACAGTGGGTGACTGATTTTCATAGACTCCTTAAAAAAAAGTCATTAAAATAGATCTGGTTTTCAATGAATATACACCTTCAACTTCAAATTTAAATGGAAATATTTAATAGGTTGTCAAAAAAGTCTTGCGGCATTTTGGATGTATTTTTATTGATTTTTCAATTGTTCACATAAAAAAAAAACAATAAAACTCATGCCCTGCTCTTGACCGATGCTACGGCTGCTACTATACCGGTTTCTTTCGACCAATTCAGCGATTTTATCG